CCTGCCTAAGTTCCTCTTTTTGTTCCAATGTCTCCCTCTATTCTTACCAAAGCGATTTTTTAAGACTATAGATCAGGACATTTCTAGCTTTTTGTGGTGTGGTAAGACACCCAGAATAAGTAAGTCTATGCTTCAGAGATGTAAGCTCAATTCTGGACTCTCTCTTCCAAATTTCCAGTTGTATTACTGGGCATCACATATTCATAAAATCTTATTTTGGTTGAGACCAGCGCAATCCCCATGGTGTACATTAGAGGTACATTCATGCGGCTCGTCCTCTCCAATGGCTCTGCTCACCTCTTCCACTTCTACCAACTTCTCTGGCTTTACAGACAACCCTGTGGTTCGTGCAACTCTAAAAATTTGGTACCAGTTCAGGAAGAATTTCAAATTTGTCTCCGCGTCTCCCTTAACTCCATTACTGAAAAATCACTCATTTCAACCGGCAATATCAGACCCCACATTTGCTATCTGGCATGACAAAGGTCTCAAAACTTTCAAAGATCTCTATAAGGAGGGGGCTTTTCGTAGTTTTGCAGATCTGTCGAGCGAATTTCAACTTCCACCGTCACATCTTTTTCGTTATTTCCAAGTTAGACATTGTGCAAAATCGTTGTTTCCTACCTTTCCCTCCGTACCCCTAATCCAACTGTGGGATGATTTTCTCTTGTCTGATCCTCTTCAGAAATCTCGTATTTCAGGAATTTACAATAAACTTCTATCCTACGACAGCTCACCTATCATTAAAATCAAGGTTGCTTGGGAGGGCGAATTGGGGTTGACACTACATGAAGACTGGTGGGACGGTGCCCTTAGCAAGATCCACAAGAGCACAGTTTGTGCTCGTCTTTCTTTGATACAGTTTAAGCTGTTACACAGGATTCATTTCTCCAAAACACGTCTGTCACAGATTTATCCCACCGTCATTGACCGCTGTGATAAATGTCACGCCTCTCCCTGCAATCTCACTCACATGTTCTTCTCTTGCCCATTGTTATTCTCCTTTTGGCAGAATTATTTTGATAGCATCTCAGAAATACTGTCCATTACTGTTAAACCCTCTCCCCATATTGCCATATTTGGGTATCCGGAGGATTATGACAGGTACAATTCGACCCAACTAGATCTCTTGGCGTTCACTTCCTTAATAGCAAGACGGTGCCTTCTTTTCCATTGGAAATCCACGAAGCCTCCCTCCAGTACTCAGTGGTTTAGGGATGTTATGTCTCTTCTAAAGTTGGAAAAGATTAGGTACTCTCGGGGGGCCGATTCTGGCAAGTTTCACAGAAAGTGGCAGCCTTTCTTAACTTTCTTCAAATCTTTGCCATCTTTGCCTTCAGATTGAGAGAATACTCACCCCCCTCCCCCCCAGTTTATTTTGGTTAGTTTAACTATTTTGTTTATCCCCTTAATTTTTTATTTTATTCTTTTATTTATTTATTTATTTTTTTTTCTTATTTCTTATTTTTTCTTTTCTTCTCTCCGTCATTTTTGTTTTTTATTATTTATTTTTATTACTTTTATCTTAGTTTCTATTTGGTGAGTTTGGACGTATGCATGTGTTCTAATTTGTACAAAAAAAAAAAAAGGGGGGGGGGGGTTGGCTCCCAATTTGTCTAGTCACTGAGACGACACAAATTTCTGCGCCTGTCCTTTTATTTTTTTTTTTTTCCTCTTCTCCTCTTATGCTTGGGTCTCAGTGCACTAAAGTCTGTTTGTTTGTCTTTCCAATGTGCCATCTCTTCCAATAAAAATATTAAAAAAAAAAAAAAAGGTTTCATCCTCTTAACATCTTAGGGAGTTTTTCCTTGCCACCTAGTGGCTTGCTCAGTTGGGATAAATTCGCACGCACCTTATATATCTATATACCGTGTTGATATTTCTGTAAAGCTGCTTTGAAGAATTGAATTGATGTTGCTTTACCTTCGATAGCTCAGTTGGTAGAGCGGAGGACTGTAGGTGCTTATAGGGGTCATCCTCAGGTCGCTGGTTCGACTCCGGCTCGAAGGAAGTCTTTCTCTGACTGAGATGGATTTTTTTTTAAATGGTCATTCGGACGGAGGTGGATAAAACACGATTCCCTGACTGGGAATCGAACCCGGGCCGCGGCGGTGGAATCCTTACCACTAGACAACCAGAGACGAAAATCAAGCAAGGGGTGGCGTCTACACTGGCTATGCTGGCCACTGTCTTCCACCAAAAGCTCCTACAAAGGGCACATGAGCATCAGCACAGGACCACGGAGCAATAAGAAGGTGGCTTGGTCTGAGGAATCGCGTATGCTTTCACATCATGTAGGGTTAGGGTTAGAAAAGGCTCAAATAGACGCTTGGCCAAGGAGTAGCGCTTAAGCCTTGTCTTATGCTCCATTCCGGGTAAGGCTTGTAAAGACGGTTGGCACTGTGGAAATGATCTAAACATAAACGATCAAACCATAAATGAGCCAAGACATTGCACTTAAGCCTTGTCCCGTGCCCCATACCCGTGATGGCCAACAGAATATGGCACTGGACTTGAACTGCACAGGGGTTTTTACCTGTGCAAGTTGAAGCCTGCTATGAACCTGTGTCTTAATGCAGAGAAAACTCTATACAGATGAGCAAGAAAGCACCTTGGCATTCATCAAACAAGCTCGTGCCAAACAAATCTTCCATCCTAGGAAATTGCTTTGACGTAAATTGAAATAAATTTGCAATAAATGTTATGTACAAGTGATTGTACATTTTATGTGATAGCTATATAAAAGCGCGTTATGCTGAAAAGATAGCTTGTGAACTAAAAGGGAGCTGATGAATCACGTTTTCTCTAACATCATGTACGGCTTAGGGTTAGAAAAGGCTCAAATAGACGCTTGGCCAAGGAGTTGCGCTTAAACCTTGTCTCATGCTCCATTCCGGGTAAGGCTTGTAAAGACAGTTGGCACTGTGGAAATGATCTAAACATAAATGATCAAACCATAAATGAGCCAAGACATTGCACTTAAGCCTTGTCCTGTGCCCCATACCCGTGATGGCCAACAGAATATGGCACTGGACTCTAACTGCACAGGGGTTATTACCTGTGCAAGTTGAAGCCTGCTATGAACCTGTGTCTTAACGCAGAGACAACTCTATGCAGATGAGAAAGAAAGCACCTTGGCATTCATCAAACAAGCTTTGACGTAAAGGAAGTCATCCGAGTGTGTACATGTAAACTTGTAAATGCTCTGGTTACTTCATTGAAGTAAATGTATTGAAGAGGGGCAGAAACATGAGAATATAAAGATGGACAAACACATTTATAGGCTCCAGAAAAAATAGTCGAGTGTTTCTTTAAATCACTTTGCCGCATTGCTTTTGAAGAACAGAATTCGAATAGAACATCGGTCTCGTTTGCTAGATCACTTATCAAAGATAAAATACTTTATATTATAAAATACTAGTATTAACCCATAAATCACTAAATGGTCTCGCGCCACAGTATCTGAGCGACCTTTTGGTTTTCTATGATCCGCCACGCCTACTTAGGTCAAAAGATGCAGGCTATTTGACAGTACCTGGAATAGCGAAGGCTACAGCAGGGGGATGAGTTTTCTCTTATAGAGCCCCACGGTTACGGAACAGTATTCCAGTTAGTGTTCAGGACTCAGACACAGTCTCAGTGTTTAAGTCTAGGCTTAAAACGTTTTTGTTTACTCAAGCCTACCCTGACTAGGCTTTCTCTTATGCTAAGCAGAGTCCTAATATTTTTTTCTCTTCCTCTCTGCTTCTGTCGAGCCACACACGATTTTATGGAGATACTAGAGATCCCGATCCTCTCTGTTCTCCGGACCTGCCTGATCCGTTTCGGATGGCCTACATCTGGATGGAGCTCTCATCTACTCCAATTCCACATTGCTGGGACTGCGGCTGCTTCTAAGGCCAAAGAGACTTCATATGAATCCATAATGAGCTTTTTCACACTATCTGTTGTTACCCAGATGAGGATGGATTCCTTACTGATTCTGGTTCCTCTCAAGGTTTCATCCTCTTAACATCTTAGGGAGTTTTTCCTTGCTACCTAGTGGCTTGCTCAGTTGGGATAAATTCGCACGCACCTAATATATCTATATACCGTGTTGATATTTCTGTAAAGCTGCTTTGAAGAATTGAATTCATGTTGCTTTACCTTCGATAGCTCAGTTGGTAGAGCGGAGGACTGTAGGTGCTTATAGTGGTCATCCTCAGGTTGCTGGTTCGACTCTGGCTCGAAGGAAGTCTTTCTCTGACTGAGATGGAATTTTTTTTTTAATGGTCATTCGGACGGAGGTGGATAAAACACGATTCCCTGACCGGGGAATCGACCCGCTGTGGCGGTGGAATCCTTACCACTAGACAACCAGAGACGAAAACCAAGCAAGGGGTGGCGTCTACACTGGCTATGCTGGCCACTGTCTTCCACCAAAAGCTCCTACAAAGGGCACATGAGCATCAGCACAGGACCACGGAGCAATAAGAAGGTGGCATGGTCTGAGGAATAGCATATTCTTTCACATCATGTAGGGTTAAGGTTAGAAAAGGCTCAAAAAGACGCTTGGCCAAGGAGTAGCGCTTAAGCCTTGTCTTATGCTCCATTCCGGGTAAGGCTTGTAAAGACGGTTGGCACTGTGGAAATGATCTAAATTTGCAATAAATGTTATGTACAAGTGGTTGTACATTTTATGTGATAGCTATATAAAAGCGCGTTATGCTGAAAAGATAGCTTGTGAAGTAAAAGGGAGCTCATGAATCACGTTTTCTCTAACATCATGTACGGCTTAGGGTTAGGGTTAGAAATGGCTTGAAAAGGCTTGAAAAGACGCTTGGCCAAGGAGTTGCACTTAAGCGTTGTCTTACGCTCCATTCCTGGTAAGGCTTGTAAAGACGGTTGGCACGTTGGAAATGAGCAAAGCATAAATGAGGCAAGGAATTGCACTTAAGCCGTGTCTCATGCTCCATTTGTGTGATGGGCAGAAGAATATGGCACTAGTGTTATATTACAGACTCCCCGTCAGGGAATCGAAGCCCAGTCTTCCGCGTGACAGGCGGAGATAATGTCCACTATACTAACGAGGATATCCTGCTGACACGCGCCATGACGGTTCGCACTTTGGATATGATCAAAACATAAAGATCAAACCATAAATGAGCCAAGAAATTGCACTTAAGCCTTGTCCCGTGACCCATACCCGTGATGGAGTTGTGCTTAAGCCTTGTCTTATGCTCCATTCCGGGTAAGGCTTGTAAAGACACTTGGCACTGTGGAAATGATCTAAACATAAATGATCAAACCATAAATGAGCCAAGACATTGCACTTAAGCCTTGTCCCGTGCCCCATACCCGTGATGGCCAACAGAATATTGCACTGGACGTGAACTGCACAGGGGTTTTTAACCGTTGCAAGTTGAAACCTGCTATGAACCTGTGTCTTAACGCAGAGACAACTCTATGCAGATGAGATAGAAAGCACCTTGGCATTCATCAAACAAGCTTTCGGACGTAAAGGAAGTCATCCGGTGTGGTACATGTAAACTTGTAAATGCTCTGGTTACTTCATTGAAGTAAATGTATTGAAGAAGGGGGCAGAAACATGAGAATATAAAGATGGACAAACACATTTATAGGCTCCAGAAAAAATAGTCGAGTGTTTCTTTAAATCACTTTGCCGCATTGCTTGTGAAGAACAGAATTCGAATAGAACATCGGGCTCGTTTACTAGATCACTTATCAAAGATAAAATACTTTATATTATAAAATACTAGTATTAACCCATAAATCACTAAATGGTCTCGCGCCACAGTATCTGAGCGACCTTTTTGTTTTCTGTGATCTGCCACGCCTACCTAGGGCAAAAGATGCAGGCTATTTGTCAGTACCTGGAATAGCGAAGGCTACAGCAGGGGGATGAGCTTTCTCTTATAGAGCCCCATGGTTACGGAACAGTCTTCCAGTTAGTGTTCAGGACTCAGACACAGTCTCAGTGTTTAAGTCTAGGCTTAAAACGTTTTTGTTTACTCAAGCCTACCCTGACTAGGCTTTGTCTTATGCTAAGCACAGTCCTAATATTCTTTTCTCTCCCTCTCTGGCTGTCGAGCCACACACACGATTTTATGGAGATACTAGAGATCCTGATCCTCTCTGTTCTCCGGACCTGCCTGATCCGTTTCGGATGGCCTACCTCTGCATGGAGCTCTCATCTACTCCAATTCCACATTGCTGGGACTGCGGCTGCTTCTAAGGCCAAAGAGACTTCATATGAATCCATAATGAGCTTTTTCACACTATCTGTTGTTACCCAGATGAGGATGGGTTCCCTACTGATTCTGGTTCCTCGCAAGGTTTCATCCTCTTAACATCTTAGGGAGTTTTTCCTTGCCACCTAGTGGCTTAACCTTTGCAAGTTGAAGCCTGCTATGAACCTGTGTCTTAACGCAGAGACAACTCTATGCAGATGAGAAAGAAAGCACCTTGGCATTCATCAAACAAGCTTTGACGTAAAGGAAGTCATCCGAGTGTGTACATGTAAACTTGTAAATGCTCTGGTTACTTCATTGAAGTAAATGTATTGAAGAGGGGCAGAAACATGAGAATATAAAGATGGACAAACACATTTATAGGCTCCAGAAAAAATAGTCGAGTGTTTCTTTAAATCACTTTGCCGCATTGCTTTTGAAGAACAGAATTCGATAGAACATCGGTCTCGTTTGCTAGATCACTTATCAAAGATAAAATACTTTATATTATAAAATACTAGTATTAACCCATAAATCACTAAATGGTCTCGCGCCACAGTATCTGAGCGACCTTTTGGTTTTCTATGATCCGCCACGCCTACTTAGGTCAAAAGATGCAGGCTATTTGACAGTGCCTGGAATAGCGAAGGCTACAGCAGGGGGATGAGTTTTCTCTTATAGAGCCCCACGGTTACGGAACAGTATTCCAGTTAGTGTTCAGGACTCAGACACAGTCTCAGTGTTTAAGTCTAGGCTTAAAACGTTTTTGTTTACTCAAGCCTACCCTGACTAGGCTTTCTCTTATGCTAAGCAGAGTCCTAATATTTTTTTCTCTTCCTCTCTGCTTCTGTCGAGCCACGCACGATTTTATGGAGATACTAGAGATCCTGATCCTCTCTGTTCTCCGGACCTGCCTGATCTGTTTCGGATGGCCTACATCTGGATGGAGCTCTCATCTACTCCAATTCCACATTGCTGGGACTGCGGCTGCGTCTAAGGCCAAAGAGACTTCATATGAATCCATAATGAGCTTTTTCACACTATCTGTTGTTACCCAGATGAGGATGGATTCCCTACTGATTCTGGTTCCTCTCAAGGTTTCATCCTCTTAACATCTTAGGGAGTTTTTCCTTGCCACCTAGTGGCTTGCTCAGTTGGGATAAATTCGCACGCACCTTATATATCTATATACCGTGTTGATATTTCTGTAAAGCTGCTTTGAAGAATTGAATTGATGTTGCTTTACCTTCGATAGCTCAGTTGGTAGAGCGGAGGACTGTAGGTGCTTATAGGGGTCATCCTCAGGTCGCTGGTTCGACTCCGGCTCGAAGGAAGTCTTTCTCTGACTGAGATGGATTTTTTTTTAAATGGTCATTCGGACGGAGGTGGATAAAACACGAGTCCCTGACTGGGAATCGAACCCGGGCCGCGGCGGTGGAATCCTTACCACTAGACAACCAGAGACGAAAATCAAGCAAGGGGTGGCGTCTACACTGGCTATGCTGGCCACTGTCTTCCACCAAAAGCTCCTACAAAGGGCACATGAGCATCAGCACAGGACCACGGAGCAATAAGAAGGTGGCTTGGTCTGAGGAATCGCGTATGCTTTCACATCATGTAGGGTTAGGGTTAGAAAAGGCTCAAATAGACGCTTGGCCAAGGAGTAGCGCTTAAGCCTTGTCTTATGCTCCATTCCGGGTAAGGCTTGTAAAGACGGTTGGCACTGTGGAAATGATCTAAACATAAACGATCAAACCATAAATGAGCCAAGACATTGCACTTAAGCCTTGTCCCGTGCCCCATACCCGTGATGGCCAACAGAATATGGCACTGGACTTGAACTGCACAGGGGTTTTTACCTGTGCAAGTTGAAGCCTGCTATGAACCTGTGTCTTAATGCAGAGAAAACTCTATACAGATGAGCAAGAAAGCACCTTGGCATTCATCAAACAAGCTCGTGCCAAACAAATCTTCCATCCTAGGAAATTGCTTTGACGTAAATTGAAATAAATTTGCAATAAATGTTATGTACAAGTGATTGTACATTTTATGTGATAGCTATATAAAAGCGCGTTATGCTGAAAAGATAGCTTGTGAACTAAAAGGGAGCTGATGAATCACGTTTTCTCTAACATCATGTACGGCTTAGGGTTAGAAAAGGCTCAAATAGACGCTTGGCCAAGGAGTTGCGCTTAAACCTTGTCTCATGCTCCATTCCGGGTAAGGCTTGTAAAGACAGTTGGCACTGTGGAAATGATCTAAACATAAATGATCAAACCATAAATGAGCCAAGACATTGCACTTAAGCCTTGTCCTGTGCCCCATACCCGTGATGGCCAACAGAATATGGCACTGGACTCTAACTGCACAGGGGTTTTTACCTGTGCAAGTTGAAGCCTGCTATGAACCTGTGTCTTAATGCAGAGAAAACTCTATACAGATGAGCAAGAAAGCACCTTGGCATTCATCAAACAAGCTCGTGCCAAACAAATCTTCCATGCTAGGAAATTGCTTTGACGTAAATTGAAATAAATTTGCAATAAATGTTATGTACAAGTGATTGTACATTTTATGTGATAGCTATATAAAAGCGCGTTATGCTGAAAAGATAGCTTGTGAACTAAAAGGGAGCTGATGAATCACGTTTTCTCTAACATCATGTACGGCTTAGGGTTAGGGTTAGAAATGGCTTGAAAAGGCTTGAAAAGACGCTTGGCCAAGGAGTTGCACTTAAGCGTTGTCTTACGCTCCATTCCTGGTAAGGCTTGTAAAGACGGTTGGCACGTTGGAAATGAGCAAAGCATAAATGAGGCAAGGAATTGCACTTAAGCCGTGTCTCATGCTCCATTCGTGTGACGGGCAAAAGAATATGGCACTAGTGTTATAAAACACACTCCCCGTCGGGGAATCGAACCCCGGTCTTCCGCGTGACAGGCGGAGATACTGTCCACTATACTAACGAGGAAAACCTGCTCACATGTGCCAAGACGGTTCGCACTTTGGATATGATCAAAACATAAACAATCAAACCATAAATGAGCCAAGAAATTGCACTTAAGCCTTGTCCCGTGCCCCATACCCGTGATGGCCAACAGAATATTGCACTGGACTTGAACTGCACAGGGGTTTTTAACCTTTGCAAGTTGAAGCCTGCTATGAACCTGTGTCTTAACGCAGAGACAACTCTATGCAGATGAGAAAGAAAGCACCTTGGCATTCATCAAACAAGCTTTGACGTAAAGGAAGTCATCCGAGTGTGTACATGTAAACTTGTAAATGCTCTGGTTACTTCATTGAAGTAAATGTATTGAAGAGGGACAGAAACATGAGAATATAAAGATGGACAAACACGTTTATAGGCTCTAGAAAAAATAGTCGAGTGTTTCTTTAAATCACTTTGCCGCATTGCTTGTGATGAACAGAATTCGAATAGAACATCGGTCTCGTTTGCTAGATCACTTATCAAAGATAAAATACTTTATATTATAAAATACTAGTATTAACCCATAAATCACTAAATGGTCTCGCGCCACAGTATCTGAGCGACCTTTTGGTTTTCTATGATCCGCCACGCCTACTTAGGTCAAAAGATGCAGGCTATTTGTCAGTACCTGGAATAGCGAAGGCTACAGCAGGGGGATGAGTTTTCTCTTATAGAGCCCCACGGTTACGGAACAGTCTTCCAGTTAGTGTTCAGGACTCAGACACAGTCTCAGTGTTTAAGTCTAGGCTTAAAACGTTTTTGTTTACTCAAGCCTACCCTGACTAGGCTTTGTCTTATGCTAAGCACAGTCCTAATATTCTTTTCTCTCCCTCTCTGCTTCTGTCGAGCCACACACGAT